CCGTTGCGGCAGATTTTTTAAGTGAATTTTGATTGGATATATCTAAATCTTGAACATGTTTTTTAATTTTATCAACCAAACCACGTTTAAATGAGATTGGTTTTCGAGTTTTTCGAATACCCATTCCAAGTTTTCTTTTAACCTTCATTCCAGTTGTTACTAACCAAGCTGCTGCTTTCTCCCCCAATTTAGAGTCCTTTGATTTCACCCTTTGCCAAGCTTTATTTTCCAAAATCCAATCTGCCTTATGCCTTTCCGCCAAACTTTTATTTTCTGAATAAGCAATATCGTGATCTTTACATGCAGCGTCTAAGGGGTTTATACCAGTATCACCCCTTTGAATTCTCTTATCTAATTTAGTACCTGGCCCACAAAATTGGTAAGAGGGTACGTTAAGCTCAAAGAGTAGGTTGTTATTTACCGAATTTAATAAACCACTACCTTTATGCTTAAAAGTCAACATTGAAATGATTTTTTTTATTAAAGTTAGTCTTTTATAATTATCAATTAAAGTATGTTGAAACGGTTGTTAATATATTTTTTAATTGATTTAAAATTGTACCGATCCGTACACAAAAATATTTAAAAAAATTAATTTTAATAAAAAGGTCGGACGGAAGACTGAACGCCTAATTGTGAGGAAAAGGTTTCTGGAGGGATTAAAAATGAACTTGTTAGGACAAGTTGGATGACGTCAGCAATTCAAAATGGCGTCAAAAATGAAATTTATATTAATAATTCAAAATATATCCTTATCTCTAAAAAATTGACGTCACAATTCAAAATGGCGTTAAAAATGAAATTTATATTATTAATAATAAATCCTTATCTCCAAATAGCGGATGCCAGATGACCAAACCACTGTTAAGTCACGCCCACCCCCTTATCACCAGCTTCCTTTCCCTTATCTCTAGTTCGAAATTTTTGTATCGCTTATCTATAGGTGGCGCTATTTGCAAATGGCCGACATCCGACGACCGCCCATTAGCTATTTGCAGGGAGCCTATCAGCCAACCACCGGCCTATCTATAGCCAATCACACTCTACTGGGCGGGGTTTTGCAACTACAAACATCGATTAGCGCCCTTTTTTTGGGCCAATCACCTTAGCCTATCAACCAACCACCGGCTTATCTACAGCCAATCACACTCTACTGGGCGGGGTTTTGCAACCACAAACATCGATTACCCCCTTTTTTTGGGCCAATCACCTTAATGTTTATCTCTTTAGGAACGCCCATAGCCAATAGGAACGTCCCCTTTAGGAACGCCCATAGCCAATCACCTTTAGGAACGCCCCCATCCATCTGTCTGGCTCACTTCCGTTCTAGAATCGGCTTAGTATATCTACTAAGTTGAACAAGAAATTGAGCGTTTAATTAAACTAGAAATAATTAAACTTGTTGATTACTCCCCTTGGGCTTCTCCGATTGTACCTGCGCTTAAAAAAGATGGTAGCATTCGTATTTGTGGTGATTTTAAAATTACCATTAATCCATTTTTAGAAATTGATCAATTCCCTTTACCGCGCATTGAAGATCTTTTTGCACAGTTGCAAGGAGTTGCCATATTTTCAAAAGTTGATTTATCTCAAGCTTATGCCCAAATTTGCTTAGACGATAAATCTAAGGAGTTAGTTACAATTTCAACTCATAGGCCCGGTTGTACAAGAACGACTTAAACTCGAGTTTAAATAAACTTAACTTTGTTGAGAACCTGGTTCAAAAACTGTAAACCGTTGTACAATTGATATTTGAGTGACGCTTAAATAATCCAAGTTTGGTATATATTTTTTCATGTTGGCAGAATTAGTTATGAATTTTGACAGAAGTTTGAATGTTTGAAAATATTTTTGACGTTATATTCTAAATATTTAAAGTAAGTAAAAGCATTATTTTTTATAACAATTTGCATACCCTACAGGTTCGTTATATATAATTTATGCCCTGATATTATTTTGTAATAAATAATTTACTTCAAGATATGTCGACATCCAGTAAACGAGGCCCAAATTTTTCTTCCAAAGAAGAATCAATGCTTTGTATTTTGGCTAAAAAATATTCAAATGTAATTGAAAATAAAAAAACAGATAACAATATGAACAAATTAAAATTAAATACTTGGAAAAATGTTGAAAAAGAATTCAATTGCCAGTCAGGGGAGACTTACAGAGATTCTTTAGGCCTAAGGAAGAAATATGAGAATTTAAACAAAAAGACAAAAAAAAGGCATCTGAGGAAAAATGTCATGCTTTGGGAGCTGGTGGAGGGCCACCAAAAAAAGATCTTGAGTTGACAGATGTAGATGTGGAATTGAGGGAAATTTTGGGATGTAGAATAGATGGTTTAACAACAGAATATGGTGGAGATTCAGGTAAAATTAAAAATATATTATTTTTTAAAATTTATATAAAAAATGCTTTCTTTAAGTTATCGTTTTTGAAGAAACTGAAGCCTATGAAATTTTAAATAAAGTTTTAAATGACGAGCAAAGCATTGGTGAAGCATATTTTAAATTGAAATTCTTATTAAATATTTTATAAAATTCCTAATTAGAATTACCATCGCCACCAAATGAAGAATTACCATCGCCACAAAATGAACCCCTTCCATCTACTTCGAAGGCAGATGAAACTATTATAACTGCAGGTGATTTTAATGAAGAAAAAAAACTGCATTATTTTATTACCACTTATTTATAGATATTGAGGCATCAAAAACAAATAAGAACCCGTTGAGACCACGTTAGACTTTGTATAGGTAAGGAAAATCAGGCTATTTAAATTTAAATTTTTTAAAGCTAAAAGAAAGAGAAATGAGTATGAGGCATTATGTGCCAATGTTACACAATGGGCTGGTATAAAGTCCACTTTGGAAAAAGAAAAAATTATTTTATTAAAAAAAGAACATGATGAAAAACTTAATCTTATGAAAGAAAAAAATCTGGCTGAAATAGAGAATTTAAAAAAAGAAACCCAAGCTAAAATTAAAAAAATCGAATCAGAAATGGAGGCAACAATTGAGGGAATTTTGGAACAAAACAAAATAAAAAAAGAAATTCTCTTACTGGAGAAAGCACAGTTGGTGTCAAAATTTAAAAAATAATAAGTATATGGCATTGTAATACTAGTAGTCGTTTTGTTATTTTTGTATTTTTTTATGTTTAATAAAATATTTTTTAATAAAAAACTCTTTAAAGCAAAGCAAAATAATTATTAATAAGCTGGTGTCTGACAACTTTGTTTATATTTTGAACTCTATGAATATTCATGTAGGGTGCGATATTTGCTTCATTGACAAAAGCTATAGCAGGCTCTTCTTCCTCAGTAATTGGAGGCTTATCTTCATTCAAAAGTTTGGCAATGTTTTCCAAAACAGCTGTAGCTACAACTACTGCTTCCACTTTTTCTTTTTTCAACCTAATCCCAAATGAAAGAATTGGAAATCGACGCTTCCATTGCCCAAACTTTCTTTCGATACAGTTCCTTGTTCGAATTTGGGACTCATTGAAAAGAAGTTCTGCTCTTGTAGTTGGTTCTGACAAAGGTGTTATTAGGTATTTTTTGACACCATAGCTTCCATCTCCTACCAACAAATGTTCTCCAAAGTCTCCAAGTTCAAACCTTGCCCTAATGTTTGATTTTGCAAAAATGTGGGAGTCGTGAGTGGAACCAGATTCCTTGGACATTAATTGAAAAGAATCCTTTTCGGTTTCTATATATTTCGGCATCATTTCCTCCAGGCGATATAATTTTTATGTGAGTGCAGTTAATTGCACCTATGCACAAGGGAAATCTAGCAGTGTTATAAAAATTTTGGGAGGTTCCTTTTCTTTCATCTTCGTTTTCAGGCATTTTAATAAATTTTCCATAGTGACCCGCTAAAGCCCGCAAAACTTTCCATATTATGCGACTGGCTGTACCTTTATCAATTCCAATGAAGTCACCTATAGCTTGAAGAAAGCTTCCTGTAGCTTAAAAGCGCAATGTCAATAAAATCTGCTGCGCCGCTTGTATAGCATGATTTCTGAAAATATAAAAAAATTTAAAATATATATTTTATAAAAGTAATATTTAGTAATAATATATATATATATATATATATAATATATAAAAGTAATATTTATTATCATGCTTACCGTTCTGTAGCTGGACTTATTTCATTTTCTATTAACTTAATTAAATATCGAACCCCATTTTTTTAAAATCGAAATCTTTTTAAAAAATCTTTATCATTCCATTGTAAAAAGTGATTATTCCGTTCGCGATAGTTTTGAGGTCGCCTTCTGGCATTCCTGATGACCTCTAAAACCTCAACAAAATTTTGTCGAAAAAATCAACACGGCTCGAGGTCGGCCCGATCGCGGTTCTGTCGCGGCCGACATCCGGTAAGAATTCTCGGGCCGACATTTTCCCGATCGTCGAAATGTAATGTTTATTTAAGTCGGTCCGACATATTTTTCAAATATTGGACCGAGCGTAGTAGTATAATCTCGGGCCGAGATAGGTTAAGGATGTCGGGCCGAGGCTGGTTATCGATGTTGGGCCGAGGTCTTACCCGCGTGAAATCGTTGCAGGATAAGCCCGTCTCCACACATAGGGCCAACGTTGGCGCCAACATCGTTCGTCCAATGTGTGGATGGATATTATGGTGTTGGAGCCAACGTTGGAAGTTATTTGCGACGAATAATTTCCAACGTTGCCTCCAAAACCATAATCTCCATCCACACATTGGACGAACGATGTTGGCGCCAACGTTGGCCCTATGTGTGGAAGCGTCGTAATAAAAATTTCGTTGAAACGGTTAAAAAATGTATTGCACAAAACGTTATAATAATACATGTTAAACTAATTCTAATAATACATGTTAAATAATAGGAAACGTCAAATAATAAAAAAACTCCAATTGGAGATGCCTTTAATTAAACTTAGGTTGCCTTAATACTTGGTAATACTTAAGTATTACTTAAAGGCAACAGACAAACTGTATATGGATAAACTGGTTATTTGTCCATGGCTTCCAAATGTTCGTCGTTTTCTAGGTCTCCTACGACTTTATTATCATTTGGTCGTTTTTTATTCTTTAATGATTGCCGATTCGAACGTCCGTCACCCCAGTCGGTTGATCTGGTCAAAGTATACCCAAGATGTTGTGTATAGTTATCTACTGGTTTTCCATCTTTGTTTTTAAATTTCTTATTGATAATATCTAAAAAATACTTATTATATTTTGAACCAAATACAAATCAAGCAATAAAATTTAAAATAGATTCAATTTTATTTACCTTCAATTATGGGACTTAGCGCGGTATCAATGAATTTCCTTTTACCTCCACTTCCCTGAACTGCGGTAAATTTTCGCGCAACTTCGCGAGAGATGAAAGCTTTTACACCCACTGCTGTCCCTTTGCGCGCATTTTGAGCCTGTGCTACTGCATTAAGGACTATATAATTCTGAAAAATAAAAAAAAAACATTAGGCAAATTTAGCTGTTAAATAATTAATAGTTACCACGCCAGCTTGTAATTTTTCATCATTTTTTAGTTTACTTTCAAAAGTATCAAAACTTTCCAAATCTTCAATTGGAAGTTTTATACCATATGAAGGACTTAATTTTCTTCTCGAATTAAATACAATTGGCTTTTCAAGATCTCTAATGATTGAATTATTTTTTAATGTTTTTAGTTCAGCCTTCATTTCTCCAACTTCTTTATTTAAAACCATTAAAACTGCTTTGCTCTCAATATTTTGGATATAAATGGATTCCAATTTTTCTGCGAATATAAAAAATGTAATGTAAGATAACTTGATATTTACTAAGCCATGTGTGATATACAATATATTGTATACAATATATTGTATATATATATACCTGAGTCAGATAACCGTCTAAAAGCATTCATAAGTTGGGTTTTTGTTTCTTCATTAGGTCCAGTTTTTCTTTGTGGTTTTTTGACTTCTTGGTATTCTTTTTTTTCAAATGGTACATTGGAGGTGGAGGAGGCAGCAACTGTATTTTTTTTCAAGATATGTGCATAGTTAATATTTTTTTCAGAGTTTGTTTTTTCCTTAACCTTACTGGTACCTGTCAAATTGGATTTTCCGTTCTTTGTCAATGTATCGGCATTTTCTTCTCTAATCAGTTTTTCACAAAACTTATGAATTTCCTCATTCACCACAGGAGATGGTTCAATATCACTGTCTCCTGAAAATTAAAGAACTGAATTGCAGAGATCAATGTAAATAATCATGTAGTGTACCTAAATTGTGTAGTGAAAATGATTTATTTTGTTTGTTGTCCATTATATGCATTTCTTGCTCGTTATTTTGGACGTCTTCCTCACTTGTTGCGCGTGCATACAAATTTCTGTCATAAGAGTTTAAATAGATTAAAGCATCTATGTAAGTGTCTATAAATTAAAGAAATATTAGATTATAATATACTGTAGTTTCTTAACAAAATGGTACACATTATTAAAACTAAACCAGCGCAACTTCTTTTTTAATGACTTACCAAAGTCTCCAAGAATATTAACATTGTATGCTGGCTTTTTCAACATTTGATACAAAGCATTTAAAAGAAATAATGTCGATACATTTTTTACCTTTCAATTTAAAAAAACTGGGAATTTCAATGATGCTAAACCCATCTTCACATTCATAGACAATTGTTTCCTAAAATGAAAAATCCACGTTTTAATGCTGAAACTTTTAAAATCCTATATTATGGTTTTGTATTTTAATATAAGAAAATGATAATTTGTCACAATAATTTTATTTTTCTGATAATATCAGAAAAATAAAATTATATTATATTATAAGCCTTCGCAAAAGTTTTGACTAGTTATTCGAATGAAAAAACAATTGGTTACAATTAAACCAAATCAAGAGATTGTTATTCAATTATTAATAATAATTGAAGAGCATAAGTTACAAAGGGTCTAAGTGCCAATTCAAATATTTTTAATTATACATGTAGAAAAAGTCTTTATCTACGCCAGTGAGATAAGAACTTCTTATCCCACTCATTTTGGGAGAGATAAGAAGTTCATTAACGCACGCGTTTTTCTCTGCTTTTAACCAATCAAATAAAAAAGTCAAAATGTCAAAATAACCCTAAATTAAAGTCTTAGACAAAAATAATTACCGTTTATTTTTCCATTTAGAGGCGTAGATAAAAATTTGTACAATATACGTGTGATAATCGCAAAAGTTCGTTAATAAAGCGTTATCACACGTATATTGTACAAATTTTTATCTACGCCTCTAAATGAAAAAATAAACGGTAATTATTTTTGTCTAAGACTTAAGTTAGGGTTATTTTGACATTTTGACATTTTGACTTTTTTATTTGATTGGTTAAAAGCAGAGAAAAACGCGTGCGTTAATGAACTTCTTATCTCACTCAAAATGAGTGAGATAAGAAGTTCTTATCTCACTGGCGTAGATAATAACTATTTTCTACTCCTATTACAGAATATGACCATTCTAATGTCATCTCTGTGTTTATTATCTAACAAGTTTTAGACAGATCTAACCTGATTTTCTCCGAATTAAATTATTTTTCCATTATATTTTTTGGAAACGTAAAAAAGTATAGTCTGAAACACGTTTGGAATTGCATATTCCAAACTTGTTACAGAATATACTACTATGCTATGCCTAATGATACTGGAATGGTTTTAAGTGACAGCAAGGTAGGTATTTGACAATGATACAACACATTGTTGGCACTTAAAACCTTTTCAGTATCATTAGGCATAGCATATAGACTTTTTCTACATGTATAGCTCAAAATATTTGAATTGGCACCTAGACCCTTTGTATAAATACCTTTGTATAAATACTCTTCAATTATAATAATGAAAAATCGAACCTCAAAATATATTAAAGTTATTAACGCGGCTTAAAAAAGTATGTATTAATATTTGCGTGTAATAAAAAGGCACTTACTTCCATTATCTTTAAGTTGATTCTTGTCTCACACAGCTTCAAAATTGGATTTAAGATTTATAAATTTATAATATTTACAACATTCGTACACAAGCTCGTGTAGACGTATGCCAACTATGCGGTAATTGTTTAGAATTTAAAAATTCAACGAGTTATTGTTACTATAGTAACAATTCATTATTACTTTAACATTTTTGTTCAAATATGCACTTTTTTAGAATCTAATAAAAGGTAGAATTTTGATGTCCACAAACAATATATATATTTAAACAAATATTTGTTCAAAAATTAATTAATGCAAAAAAGCAACAGAAATAGTCAAACTTTCTGCATCTTTGCTGGGTTTAACACATAATTTAACGATTTTTTTATTAATTTGTTCAATAGGAACTGTCAAGTGGATATTGCTTGGAGTTTCATACAAATCATACAAGTCTAAAGCAGTTGAATTATTTGGATATACAAAAAAAGATTGATCCTTTCTCAACCATTTGACCCCATTCAAATAGATTTCAGTGTAATTTCTAACTGATCGAAACATTCTTTTTATCTCCAAACAAACATTATTGTTTAAAAGAACCATGTTATTTGGAGGCTTAATTCTTAAGATCACTCCATTGTATTTGACTATTTTTACTACTGTCATAGTTTCATCAAATGAAGAAGGCATCTCTTTTAAAATTTGAATTCTCTGATTAATAACTGGGATTATTTGTTCCCTAAAAAATTTTTCATCCATTCGATTACAAAGTTGCTCCATTGGCTTGTAACCGCTTCGCAATACTCTTCGCATTTTTCCTAGAAGATTCTCATATGGAAATAAACTGACCAAACTTAAATTACATTCAAAATTTTTCACATCATCAGCCACATGAATCAAATTATGAATATTTATTGTAAGAATACATCGGTTAAAATGGACTGGAAATAAGCGAACAAATTCTCTTAAATACATTTTTGCATGTTCATTGTAATGTACTGCACGATTACTTGAACATAAAATGCGAAAAGCCACAAAAAGTAGTATGTTTGTACATTGTCTCGCTTAAAATTGGCTTTAAAACAACTGCTCCAGAATACAGGAGGAAAAATGAAAATTGCGTTGCTTTCCAAGAAGATATTTGTGCTAAGGGTTGTGTTTTCCGTTGAAAATCACAAGGCACTTGGTTTTTTACCATCTCTAACATATAATTTAATTGATCTTGACGTGCAGCACTCAATTTTCCTTGTGCTCCTCTCACGTGGCCTATCCACAACTCGAATAGTTTTTTCATTACCCCAAGACAAGCCAAATGCATAAAATCAAGGCTAAACATGGAAATCATGTCCAAATTAGGCAATCTTAATAATGGAGATAATGCATTGTGGTGTTCCCTATGAATTCTCGCACGGAAAGATTCATTTGTCCTTGCAATTTCATTCATATTAAGAAAACACTCTCGATTGTTTAATCTGACACCATGCACATTGCACCTTTCACAAGCATAACGAGCTGTGTGTCCTTTGATACACTTTATGAAAGCACGAGCGGGTTTGTCTGCAATAAAGCATTTTATTCTTAATTGAAAAATAGTTCCATTTATCTCTAGACCATTAACCAACAAGTTCAGTAGCTCTTCAATAAATTTTTGAAAATAATAATTTACATCTGGTGGTTTAGAATGACCCATAAAAACAGCTACCGGAAATGGTGAATAAACGTCACTACTGTGATAAATTCTACATAGAATAGGCCAAAATGCTAAACTTCCTGACTTAAAAACTCTAGCACCATCAACATGAAAAAACAAATCTATTACATGTTCCGGATGTAATGCAACATTAATGCACATTTTAAGTCCTTTAGCAATACCAAAGTATACAAATTGTTGTAAGTTATTGAAAGAATTTTCTATGGTATCAATTTCAAAACTATGCCCAACTTTTAAAAAAGTCACTGCAGTTTTAGGTAAATTGGGACACACAGGCTTCAATATCAACAATAACTTTGTTAATTGGAAGAGAGGAATATTTCCATCTCTGGCCCACTCTCTCAGATCATCTGCAATGTCTTCTTTGGCATTTTCCACTTCTTCAGGGGGGACTTCATTGTTTACGTATTCATTATTGGAACTGTTGTCATTATTGGATTCGGTTTCTTCTTCACTAAAACTGCCATTGCCTTCTTCATCTTCACTGTACATGCGTTGGTCTTGATTTTTAATCTCGTCATTTCCTTTTTCAAAGTCAACCTTTTGCAATTCTTTATCTATGCCACCTTCTTCATGGCCATATTCTAAAATTATATTTTTATTATGTACCTACATTTTAACTACCTTAAACCTTGAGAAAGCTATAGTAGTACCTACAAGTTTTTAAGAAAAATATTTGTATAATAAAAAATATATGTATAATAAAAAAATATATCTGTAATAAAAAAATATACATACCATTAACATTTTCATTAATTTTTTTTTCTGGGTTTTCCACCTTTCGTTCTACCAGATTTTCTTTTTTTGCTGTAAACACGTTGGTAAGCATATGTACAAAATCTATAGGATTTCGGAAACCTAAGGTTTACTTGGGTGGTAATCAAGTAACTTAAAACTGGTTATAACAATAGACTTTATGACCCGGGTAAGTAACTTGGTAAGTTTCCGAAAACGCCTTATGTATAAGGCGTTTAAACGCCTATATATATAATTATATGTATACTATTATAGTAATAATACTATATTACTATACTATAATTTATAAGTTTTATAAGTTTAATAAAAATTAATAAAAATGTATATTTTTTTCTTACTTTTTTAAATAATTTCATTTAACATCTCAAGAGCTTGCACCCCTAAAGCTCGTGATTCGCGCTGAATTAGACGATGTCTACTTACGCGAATTCTATTTCTGTTTTTTTGATAATCCATATATATGGTTTAATTTAATTTCGCAAATACAAAACAATTTTAAATTTTAAAATGTTAAGGTTGACATTGAAGTTTTTGTAATTATGATAATTTTGTTAAGATGTCGCTTTAAAGTGCGTTTAAACATTCAATAACTCGGCTAAAATGAATAAAAAAATTAAAAAATCACATTGGCCCATTATCCAGTCACATATGTCGTGCCGTTATTTTTTAAATACTTTTAATCGACCAATATATATATATATAAATATCGGCCATCTTTCGTCGGCCCAACATGTTACCGACATCTTTTACCGAGATGTCAGAACGCCGCAAACGGGCCGACCTCGACCCGTGGAGTTCCGTTTTCAAACCGAGAAGTTTTTTTGATCTTCATCATCTGTTAATTCATTCATGACGTTTTCGTAAAAATAAAACTTCAAATAAAATTCGGGTTATGTTGACGTTAAACTCGTATTAATGGCGGCTCAGTTAAACCGGGAAACAAATACGATTTGAGCCAGGTTTACGCTTGAACTTGCTTTATACAACTGAAAAACGTTTTTGGACCATGTTTATAATTAAACTACGCCTAAACTCGGATTGTACAACCGGCCCATAGGGGTCTATTTCAATATCAACGTTTACCATTCGGGGTGGCATTATTATTATTATTATGTACTCTCAAGGGGCTATGCACGCACAGTTCAGAGCACCTAGCCGAT